GTGTAACATGCGCGTTGCTGACCCTGAAAAAACCTTAATGTGCCCTTTTTGAAGAACCCATGTTTAATTCTTGTATTAATCGTCACGATGGGCTAATTAACAAGCATTCAACCTCGTCTATCATCCCTCACTGATGCCTCGCCAGCCAGTATACCAATAGCGCAGGCGGAATTACCATTCCATTTCACCCATTAAAAAATACCTGATATAGATATTTACATTGAGGTTGAATGTCGATTTGTATATGTCCAGAGATGATTTTTATTAGGAATCTACTTGAATTATTAAATATTATTTATCTGTATGTTTTTACCTATAATAACGTAAAGCAATTTCCGGCTGGTCATTATAGAAATTGTACATTGCAATACTTGCTATGGCTTCCATGTTTGACGGATCTTCCAAAGCAACCATTCTGTATTCTTTTACAGCTAAAGCTGGATTACCCATTTCATCATGAATCCTGGCTTGCTCTAATAATAAGGGTGTGTATTCATGAAATATAGAAAGACCTTGCTTACACACTTCTAGAGCAGATAATGGCTGGTTTAATCCAACGTACATAGCAACCAAACGTAGATAAATTGATATATGTTTGTTTTGTTTAAGGGCTTGTCGTAAACAATCTTCCGTATTTCTATGCATTCCAAGTGCAGAATAGCACCGAGCTAATGAAAAGTTCCACCACCAATCTATAATCTCAGTTGATTTTTGGGCTTGAAACGCTATGTCCATGGCCTAAAACAATTTAAGAACTTAATAACTTATTTGTATATAATTTTTCATCAATTAATTGAATATCGTTGAAGAGAATTCTAAACACTCGGATGTAATCTCTAAAAAGGACATAATTTTTTTGAAAAGATATCAAGTATTATTCATTTTATTATCCCCTTGTTCTATATTATTTGATTTTAAGTTAAAAGACACTTCTAGTAAAAAATAGTAAAGTTCTAAATTATTGCGATACCATGAACTACATATAGCCTCGCCAACATATATCGATAGCGCGGGCGGGGTTACCCAAGTAGACTTATATAGATAGAGGTACTCGTATAACCATGTTACATGCACTATACAAAAAAAAAACAGTCATTTCAAAATGTATTCAATCCTTGAATCTTAATTTAATTATGATTTTCATTTTGGAGGTTAAACATTCCGTTATCAATTAGTGCTACTCTATACTAAAAACTGCCGTGTAGTTCCGGCAAGGAATGGGCCATCCCTTCCTTTTCCTTGGATGTCGTAAGAAATTACTAAGGGAATCTAATGGTCGAGTGATGGACAGGAGTGTTCCTTTTTAAACATCATCAAAGCCTAACTGCAGTTGCTAACCCACCTGCCAAGCGTGGTAACAACCACCAAAACCCTCCTATGTTCAGTAGTAAACAATTAACGGCTGATATAATAATAATGATGTACAAAAAATATGATAACTAAATACACCTTTCTAATATCTCCCTCGCAATAATATACATATTCAAATAAGGTTTTTGCAGCGGGAACAAAAAGGGTATCTTCTTTCGTAAGAAATCTGAGAGAGAGTGGCGTGCTGGCGGTGAATGGCGCTCCTCCAGCAAGAGCAGTAGCAGCTCTCGAGAGCCGGGACGCTGTATGCAATGCAGCCCTCGTGCTAGGAGCCCGGCTAGTACTCACACCACGACTGGTAGCCGTTCCACTTGTACGCTTCTGGAAACAAAACGATCTTACAATAATAGTTGATGTAAACTATTCTGTTCAAAATAACATTATTGTTATTAAACACAACAGTCTTGAAACAACTGTGCTTGCATGGCTGCATTTGTAATTTGCAACAGTGGCAGTGAAATTACTGGATACGAAGGCATAACCTTAGTCCTCAGGAATGTCACTGTATATTATGTGATGTTTATAATGCAGTTCATTCTTTGGCTATCCAATAAGGGGCCCGGTATTAAAGTACCATTTAGTGAAAATTTTAGTTTAAAGAAATGAAACGAACAAGCAAAATAAATGATTATAATAGGTAATATAATAAAAAAATCACAAATTTGTATTTTTTACTTAGTTTATATCAATAGAAAATAACCAAAAGTTGTACAGTATAATCCAAAAAAAAAATCTGTGGAAATCTAATCGTCATTCGCTAATCACTGTGATTGATTTGTTAAATATACCTACCATTAGAAGAAAAATATTTGAATTCAATGATTTATATAACTGAATATTGACCAAACTGAAATTTAATACATTTACTAATTAAATTACATTCAACTGTTGCGCTGTCTTGACTTCTCTTTGAAATGCTGTACCCGCTCGCGGTGTTTTAGCAACTGCGGTAGTCACCAAATCATCTTGTTTTGGAAAGTACTCTACTTCTTCATATCCATTACCTGCAACTTTTGCTTGAATGGTCATAGCTCTCATTTGAATAAATTCTAACATTCTATCACTTTTATTTTGCAGAGCTGTAGCACATAAATTTAAACATTTGTCGTATTGTTTTGTTTTGTATAAGTTCAAAATCTTGTAGTCAATTTCCATTTCGTTCACAGTGTATGAAAATTATATTAAATGAAATTAAACTCAATTTCTGGTCTATGTTTTTAAGATTATTGGGATCCGTCGCCTTGGTTACAAATTACAAACAAAATAATTCAATACTTTGGAATTTAAGTTTCACTAGTCGAATACTCCTTTAAAGCAATGCTATTAATTTTGATTTCACCTATATATACACACTAGTTATACTCCAAACGTCAGTCGGTAGGATTTTTTAATGGAATGAAAATAGAATGGTATCTCCGCCTGTACTATCGGTATATACTGACTGAATAATATTATTGGCCTATTCGGCCAAGAAACCTACAGAATATTCAGCATTCGGCATATGACCGAATATACTATTCATTGCAAGTCTAGTGCCTATTACAATCTAATTATATAAGGGAAAAGGCATTGTTAGTATAAAAGTCAAACAGCCCCATTTCTAGCAATATACCCTATTGTCCCCATCAGGTATCCCCCTAAAAGCCATCGTAGTTAATTCTCTTGTGGAATTCAACACGATGAGCTAACTGATCTATTTTTATCCTCATCTATCATCTCTCACCGGTGTCCTGCCAGCATATACCGATAGCACAGACGGGGCAACCATTCCATTCTCATCTATTAAAAAAAACCTAACATATACGAAAGCTGTGGAGTCAACCATAATCCCTTAAATATCTTTATATTATTTAAACTTAAATGATAGGATTAATAAGTATATGTTTTATAAATATGTCACATCATCTGCATCATCATTATCACAGGTAGCGGTGATTAGTTTTAAGAATTTTACAATGAACTTTCTATCTAATAGATATTTTATTTTATCCGTAATAAAATTATAGACTCATAGGTTAAACTACCTTACTTATTTAATCGTAGGTGAAAAAAAAAAACCATTTGCTGTGGCTTCACAGTTCAAAAGCACGTCTCTTAACATCTCTAAAATCATTGGGATCCTTGGTGTTGACATCTCTAGTGGCGTACAGTTCTGTGGTCACGATAAGGTGAAGCTGGCATCCAAAAAACGCGGTGTGCTTAATAGAGCGAAGCATTACTTCACGCCGGATCAGCGATTAGTCCTCTACAAATCGCAAATCCGGCTCCACATGAAGTATTGCTGTCACTTATAGACGGAAGCATCTAGATATCAGCTTGAACCCTTCGACTCAGTGCAACGACGAGCTATGAGAATTGTCGATGATCCCAGGCTTACAAGCAGTATCGAACCCTTAAGTCTTAGAAAAGATTATGCCTCACTCTGCATGTTCTACCACTTGTACAAAAGATTTTGCTCAGAGGAATTGTTCAATATGATGTCCACGGTCACTTTCTACCATCGTACGGCTCGCCATCGACAGGGAGTTCACCCTCATACCTTACAGCCTAAATGGTCGCGTACAACGCGATTTCAGAAATGTTTTCTCTCACGAACACTCAGGTTATGGAATGAGCTCCCTGCCGAGGTTTTCCCAAGAGACATATAGGGTAGGTTAGGGGAGCATAGAGTTCTTCAAAATGGGGGTAAAGAGATTTCTTCAGGGTCGCGTAATACCCCTGGTATTGCAGGCTTTCAGAAGCTACGGTAACCGCTTACCATCTGGTGAGCTGTATGCTTGTTTGCCACCTCAGTGGTATAAAAAAAGGTTAATAAAGCTTTTAATTTCTTTAATCAAATCATCATTATATGATTTCATATTTAGAATTTTTAAATCCTAAATTAATGATCAACTGTAGTAGTAGATATTTTACGTTTTAGGTAGATACAAAATTCGTAAATACCTTTCTGTGGGTGTTCATGACCTAGCTACAATAACGAATAACGTAAGCAAAATGTCTATAAAACACGGTCCGTTTGTTGCCTTTCTGTATCCTATTAATGCTTAGCGTCAGAGCGATTTATGGGGTGAAATGAAAACATCCCCTTTATTTCTGTACTTGTACTATTATAGTCAGATGACTCAAACATTTTTATTTTGCTATATTATACAAGTTACCTAATAGTGGTAATAAATTTGGAACTCGATGTTCGACTTTTTGGACAGAGGTTTTTAAAATAGATCGATACAAAAATGATCTCAATCTATCCCGATGCATTACGTATTTTCTACGTGGCTTTTTTTGACAATTGTCATGTCTAATTAGCTGTGTAGATTTTCATAATAAAAAATAATAAATTAAAATGAATGCAGGGCAGTTCACTCATCGTGACATTCTCAAGTATATAGGATATCCATATTTCTGCGTATTTGTTGGTAGAAATTCTATGATGTATGCTAAGTACTTTAAATAAGACGCCCATTTCACTTCGGCTTCCATCATCATGAAGGCGATAGCCAATCAATTGTCTTTCATTACAGCTTTTAGAAAAAAAATCATTATTGTTAACTCGCTGAAATGTTGACGACTTCTGGTAGAACAGAATATAAAATTATTCTAACTTATAATTTTATCATTCTAAATTCTTTCGTAAAAGAAGAAGCATTATCACGACAATGCTTCTAAGGTGTTTAGTTTTACTTCTATCGGTTGGTCATATACTTGCATCTGATTCATGGCGTAAACCCGGTTGTCATCGAATTGGTTTGTTTCACCTAGTTCATATTTATATTATATTACTTTTTAGGCAATTAATAAATTCGAAAAGTGGTGCCTACTTCGACTAAAAATATAAGTAGATAATGGTTGCTTGTATCAAATCTAATTGTTACCTGACATATTCGGAGAGACTTGACGAAATCTTTCCCGTGTACTTTAATAATGAAGTTTAATAATGAAGTACATATTTGTTTTGTGAATGTAAATGAAATTGTAACTGTAATAATAATAATGATAACGCGCTGTCATCGATAAACGCTGGCAGAACAGTATTAAGGGATGATAGATAAAAATGAAAGTAGGTCAATTGACGCATTGTACCAAATTTCTCAAGACTTAACCACACCTGTTTCCAGGAGAAACCGCGTGAAGGTCGACCTGATACGATATATTGCTTGTAAATTACAAGTTAGACATTACAAGTTGTAATATCCCCCGTTATCAACGATCTCGTCTCTCCAATCGAGTGGGTAATAGTTACCTACGATCTCAACAATAATTAACTAGACACAGAATTACTTTAAATCAAATTTGGCATTGGTAATAACATTAAATTACCAAGTGAGAAACTAAATAATATTTAAAAATAGTTACAGTAATTGAAAATAAGCTTTTCCGGGTTTTCAGTAGCTATATGTGGTAACTATTTTAAATTTACCTTTTTAACCGACTTTTAAATAGGAGGAAGTTTACAATTTAGTTGTATTTTTTTATATTTGTTATCTCATAATTCCGTCATTTTTAAACAGATTTAGAAAGTTATTTTTTTATCTAATAGGAAATATTTTCAGATAAGTTCCATTAAAATTTCATGAAAATCGATTTAATTGTTTAGTTTTTGAATCAAAATAATTGGTTCTGTCATAATTAAAGTCAAAAATTAAAAGGCGTGGTGTTATTATTTTTTTCTTTTTGAAACAATATTTTAAATTATTAATTTAAGACATTTATGGTTTATTTATTTAAACTTTATTGAAGAATAAAAGGTGTTACAAAAGGCGGACTTAATGTTATAGGCATTCTCTACCAATCAAACTGGAATATTCAGAGATATTCTGTTGTAGGTATTATTGGTTCTGTATCAAAGTATAAATTAAACATCATGTGCTCGATTATTTCAGGACACACTAGAAACATTAGCATACCGGATTGTGTTCAATTCAAAATTACAACGAATGCTTGCCGCGGATTCTGCGAATCGTGGTCACTACCTAGCATCATGCTGGGCTTCAAGCGACATCCTGTTACCTCTCTCGGCCAGTGCTGCAATATTATGGAGGCTGAAGATGTGAGTTTTATAATTAAATATATATGTGGAACTTCTAGTAGTTAACAGTGGTGGCCAATCTTTAAGTATTGGCAGTCACACACATTAATGGTAGCGAAATTAAACAAAATAATACTATTCAAATAACCAGTGATATGAAGAAATGACCCATTCTATGTCAAGGCGAATTTTAACCACTTGCTGGCATTAAATTGTGCTGAAATTTGACATACTTATGTAAGTTCTATGATAATACCACATTATAATATCACCAGGATTGTCTGATGATGAAAACGAATGGCAATTCGTAAATTGAGTATGATAGATCTATAGTATTTAATTTGTATACACGAAAACTATAACCCTGTATGGTGCCCCAGAGTCTGATAAAGCCTAAATGTAAAAAAAAACTTGTTTTTAACAGACTTTTTGCAAAACAAAATCTATGAGTATTAGTTCCATATTAATTTCATCACAATTAAAATGCCTTTCTTAGCTACCTAGCTTTTTATAGATGATAATGGAATGGTGATACTCAGCCTGCGATATGGATATACGCTGAAAAGGCTTGGGTATATTTTTAACAATGAGACCGCTTTTTCCTATAATCATTATATATATAATAATAATCATTGCCTGTTTTTCTGTGAGGTGCAATACGTATTATATGTATGTTTGTGAATGTGTAAATAAGGGGAATGGGAATACGTACTTAATTATTTTTTCAGAGATTTTATAGTTTAGATTTTTTATCCCTATCTATTACTAATAAGTACAAATATTGTTTCAGGTCCCAGTAAAAGTCCTATGCTTGGACGGTGAAAGGAAATTAATATTCAAATCCGCAGTCTCCTGTGCATGTTATCATTGCCAAAAAGAATAATACGTATATACTTATAACTGAAAACATGTCTTCTATACGTGCCTACATTGATGTACCTCTCACGTATCGGATGTTACCTAGCTACTGTTAAGGGTATCTTTTCAATGGGGTATTTCAGAAGTGCCATTTCTCTAAACCTCCTATCTTATAACCTATTATTTTAATTCGATAATTTCGAGAAATTACTATTTTATGTCCAGCATAAATTATATTATAATTATTTTGACTTAATACTGTAAGAAATTTTGTTTACACTGATCCTTAGTATAAAGAGATAGCTGTAATATTAAATTGAAATTTTAATTTGAAAGATTGGTTTGGAGAACTAGCGCTTCAGAATCGATCCCAACGATAACAATACATCGATGGTTGTACCTACCTACATATGTATAGGCGATGTTACTAATAATATTAATTATATTTATAATCATTTCAATACGATAAGTATAATTTGCGATGTTTAAAAATAAATGAATTTATTTTATTAAATAGTGTTTGAGTAAAAATTAATAAATATGTTTATTAACTACTATAATTCTAGTTAGGTATTGGTGTATTTAAAATTATTTTCCAGAGGAAGCCTAGCCCCTTCAAAAAGGTACATATGTAAATACTCTTAGACGTGACTTTACTAAGTTTCGTTCTAAATTAAGTGAGCACCGGACAATTCTGGGGTATTCTAGGATGCTAAAACATCACTTTTGTAAACCTATCTTTTAACTCAATATTGTAATTTGATAGTTTTTCAAAATGACTATGTTATGGATCATCCTAAGGGACCATCATACATTAAATTTATAATAACTGTGACTTAAATCTATTAAAGTAATTTATATTGTTCTTTAAAATATAAATTTCGTTGTAATATGAAATTAAATTTTTAATTTTAGAGATAGATTTAGAGAACGGTACTTCAAAATCGAACGCACTGTTAACGTTTTACAACCATTTTAGTCTTAGGTTCCCTTACTTATAAAAACACCAAACGTTTATAAACCTATTTTAGCTATTGAAGTGTATCGTCTTTTTTTCTATATTAATAATATATTTTCTAGTATTTTCCAGAGAAAGGATTTGAACAAAAGGCGTTTGCTTGGGCACCTCTATCCCATTCGTGTTTCTACCGTGAAGCAGTTATGTTTCGGTTAGAAGGGTGGTATATGGCAGTGAATTTACAGGGTACAGAGGAATAAGATCTGAGTCCTCAGGTATGATAACGCATGGGGGGTATTATGGGCGAAACAGTATACTCTGTTATGTCCATGGTTCATGTCTATAAGCGACGGTTACCACTTTCCATCAGGTGGGCGTCAGCTTGTTTGCCATTCTAAGTTGCATAAAAACAATTCTCGATTTAAAAGAAAGTGATAAAACACTATAATCAATCAATACGTAACTGATCGTTGCCTGTACATAAGAGATATATAAGAAAAACTGTTATAAGGGACTTTATGAACGCAATAGAACCCAAAACAATGATTTTTAGAATGTTTGTCTGTCTGTTTGTTTTTACGTTTGTGGACGCTAATCTCAGTAACGGCTTGATAGATTTGAGTGCGGTTTTCACAAATGCGTCGCGGTTTGCTCCACTTAACATTTAGTGTTTGTTTTTTCAATGGGTTCATAAGTAAAAAAGTTATATCAATCTAAATAATCACATATAAAATGCTATAAAATATCCGATCAGTTGAATTGGCTGAAACTTTATAAAGATATTTTTATAATGAATGATAATAGAATAGTAACCTAGCCTGCGCTATCAGTATACGCTGGCAGCGCACCAGTGAGGGATGATAGGTGACGATGAAAGCAGATCAGTTAGCTCATCGTGACGAATTTCACTAGAATTAACTACGATGGTTTCCAGAGGGAACCGCGCGTATTGCTAGCAATGGGTCAGTTAGACCCCATTACTAACAATTTCTTTCCCCCTTATGAAGATATTAGGTATGTAATTATCATTTAAGTATATAATACATTATAAAACCAAATTCATAATGGGTTCTAATAGGAACTATATAATTAGAAGTGGACAACGCCGCGGGAAACGGCTAGTATATACTAATATTATAAAGAAGTAAATTTGTGAGTTTAGATGTGCGGGGTAAATTCCGATTTTACAAATCCAATTTGAATTTTTTTTTCCTCTGTTGTTACTTTTTATTAAGGTATATTATCCCTAAGTGCTATAGAATACTTTTTATTTTAATAAGTATATATTTTCAATAATTAATCACAGTAAAAGTAATTGAAGCAAGCAAAAATTCTATACCTAATATGGTGTGCACTGCTTAAATGTATTTATTTGTTGAAAAAAGGAATAAAATCTGTAGCAAAAATATTTATTACTTTTAGCTTTTACGAGTACTCTTTAACTATCTTTAGAAGAATTTAAATAAAAAAATATTCTTATAAGAACTAGCTATTTTTTTCCGCAACTGTACCCGCGTGAATTAATAAAATACCTTATGTAGTTGTGATATAACTAAATTTTATTCAAATCCGTTCAGTTATTTAAGCTTGTTTGATTAACAAACACTACTGCTATAAATATTGTGTGATTAAGTATAAACATATGCTGTAGGACGTATGTGATCAAGCTATAAGTAGTAGATTAAAAAAATCATTAAAATTCTCCATTTTTCGATATGAGTATCGTTATGACCGACTTGATGATTCAAAAAGTAGACTATAATTGAGTTATATTTAAAAATATTTCTTTTATTTAACTCTCTTGTGGCAACACTTATACATTTGTCGGCATATCAAAAGAGCTTTCATTGTGGTATTCTGTGCTGTTGATGTGCCAATACCTAGTTTTTTGAATTATTGGAGTTGGAAACACTGAGTATAATCTATGGACATTTTATCTCGCAGGTAGAAGTTACTATTCTTAGTCTATGTTTTTATTTCTTTGATTATCTGTTCACAAAGATTTGTTAGTCTTGTTCTTAGTCTGTGGTATTTTGTTTATTATGATTATGATGTGATTGAAATTTTTAATACTTGTGAATATTAAAATACCTAATTCGTCTCAGAACAAAATGCAACGAATATTTATATAGTGTTAATATTTCTTTAAATTAGGTTAATTACCATTTTTATAACTTCAAGAAATTTGGAAACTCTAATAAATGTAAATACATAGAGCAGCGCAATGGGGTGTCTTCATAGTAAAAAGGAATCTTCAGATCTGCATCCCAATGTATTTCGTGTCGTAAATATTGACGAAAATGGTGCAGACTTGTGCTCTGGTCAGTTGGAGATCACAGAATCGGATATTATTCTTTACAGGGAAGGTAGAGATTCAACAGTGTGGCCCTTGCATTCATTGAGAAGATATGGATTTGAGGGAGAACTGTTTAGTTTTGAGTCAGGTTAGTATTTATCAACACTATTAGAAATATTAAGAATGACAATGGATACCCACTAAGTAAAATTAGTTATACTTAAAGATGTTTCCTATGTTGAATTTGGAATGGCTGACAAGCTCTCATTCCTCCTGATAAGTGATATCTTCATAAATAATATTATAGATATGAATTACTAGTTAGTATAAATAATAATGCTGTCATTCTTGTTACTATAAACTACACTGGACAGCAAATAAACCGGGCCACCTTCTACTTTTGAACTCTAATCCGATTTTCTCAAAAAGTATAAAACTTACAATTGCCAAAGTCATATCTATAGAAAGTGCATTTCATAACAATCAAAATGACTAAAATGTAATCTAAAGTACCGTCATCTTACATTGCAATCAAGCAACAAACACATGCTTACGATTTACTCTGTTTTGGCTAGAATTCGCGCTCAGCATTCTTCTACAGGTTAGTCCGATATTTCTTATCATTTCTTTAATTTTTTTCTATTATTTGCATAGACGCATATTTTTGTAACTTTTTGAGTTAATAATGGATACAAATCCTCAGGAAGCCGCTCAAGCTGTAGCATTACTTTAAGCAGGCCATGGACAATGTGAGGTTGCTCGAAGACTTTAAATTAGCAGATCTTCAGTGCAATGAGTTTGCAGACGATACTTAGAGACTGAAGCATTCAATCGCCATTCAGATACAGGCAGACCTAGGTCTACATCAGCAGCAGATGATCGTTACATCCAACACCGTTCTGCAAAATCGTCGACTCAACACAGTTAGAGTCTAACAAAGTCTGCATGATGAACGCCAAGTGGTCATAAGTTTAGATACTGTTAGAAGGAGACTTGCTGAATGGGACCTGACACCAAAAAAAGCAGCAACAGGCCCAGCATTAATGGTAGCCCACCATTAAGCACAACTTGAATTTGCTCAAGAGCACAGAGATTGGATGTTGGAGCAGTGGAGTAAAGTACTCTTCACTGATGAGACAAGGGTGAGTCTATATGAAAGTGATCGACGTCAGAGAGTATATCGTCGCCTTGGAGAACATTATTCTCAGTGTTGCATCGAAAAAACTGTTGCTTATGGAGGAGGCTCTGTAATGGTGTGGGGCGGCATCTCATTAACTGCACATACAGCTTTAGTTTTCATTGAACCGACGGGCTGTACACGTCAATTGACTTTTTATCGCTACCTTTCTGAAATTCTCACAGATCATGTGGTACCTTACGCAGGATATATCAGGCAGGATATGCAGTTGATGCATGATAATGCACAGCCTCACATTGCTCATGCGGTGACCCATTATCTACGCGATGTTGGCATCCATATGATGGCATGGCCAGCTTGAAGCCCGAACTTGAACCCTATAGAACACTTATGGAATGAGCTGAAACGTCAGGTTCGAGCTCGGGTACCTGCAACAAAGCTTCCAGAGCTGTGAATCGCAATTGAAGAGGAGTGGAATGCAATTCCTCCAGATTTCATCGTCAGGCTCTTGAGATCTATGAATACGAGGATGCTATCAGTTATCAGAGCAAGAGAAGGGAACACTGAATACTAATCCATTGAACATAAAGACTCCTGGAAGTGTCTCTCATGCAAGTCAAGGGTTCCAAAAAAGGACAACACAAATACTCCTATCAGACCGGAGGCAGACAACGTGACACAGAGACGCGGGGGTGGTGCGCTCTCACCGGACCGTTGTTCGGCTTCACCGGAACGTATGGCGAAGACGACTACAAATGAAATGCTGCTAAAGGAAATACGTCTTCTTCGAGATGACATGAGGGAGATGCATTTGCAGATGCAATCGTTTACCGATACTATTAGTAGTTTAAATTTAAGGATGGATGCATGTGAAAACCGATTGGATGAATTGGGTATACGTATGGATAAAATGGAACGACGCACTAGCACTGATCCCGTGTTCCAAAGTGACACATCATTGTTACAGTCGATTGAAAACTTAAAAATCGAGCTCAATGATAGGGATCAAGATTTGTTGCTCAATGACCTTCAGATCTCATGCATACCTGAACAAAAGGGAGAAAATGTCACGCATAATGTGATTAGCATAGCTAGCAAGTTGGGCATGCAGCTGACAGTGCAAGATATAACCAGTGCAGTGCGGGTCGGAAGGTTATTAGATTCTGATGATAAAGTCTCGAGTCGACCACGCTTGGTGGTGGTACGACTGGCGCGTCGCGCCCTGCGTGATCAGTTGCTCCAGGCTGCAAGGGTTCGTCGTGGTGCCACTACAGAAGGCACAGAGATTCCAGGGCCACCAACTAAATTTTATATAAACGAAAGACTGACACTAAAAAACAGACAGTTATTTCAGCGAGCACGTGAGCTTGGAGTACGCCACAACTGGCGATACGTATGGACAAGGGACGGCAAAATATTTGTAAGGCAACATCAAGGTGAGGATACACCACGGTATCGTATACGTACAGATAAAGATCTTACCAGGGTTTTTGGATCGGCGGCCGTTCAATAATAAATATCTCTTTATTAAGGGGTTATATACAGTTAATGGGTCGAAAAAAAGCGAATTTTTAGGAATTTTTTTTGAGAAGCCGTTAAAATTTATTGATTCCAAAAGTTTACATACTTATTATGGTATTATTCAACAACATTTTAGTGCTTATTATTAGTAAAAATATTTCTCTGGAGAAGAGCTACAGCCGATCTCCAGGAGGTCCTCTAAAAAAAGACGTCTTGCGGTGACCACTCTATCTCTGAACTGGATCATCTGAAATTAAAAAAATAAAAAGATTTAGTTAAAGTAATGTTAAATTCAATTATTAATCGATGGAATAAGCAAAAAAAAATTTTTTGTCAAAATGGCGCCTTCTCAAAAAGAAAAGTCGATTTTTCACCAAAATTTCAACTTTAAATTGTTTATAAAACATCGAAGTTTTTATTGGAAAAATAAAAGCTTCGATTAATAACTGAAAAATATATTTAAGAAGCTTGTATCAAAATTTTAGACGAATCGGAGAAACCGTTTTCGAGTTACAGTGGTCACCGACTTTGAAAACACCATTTCGAGAAAAACGCGTTTAAAGTTTTGAGTGCACTTTACATGGGATAAAAAATTTTTTTTTTCAACTTACATGGTGTCATCTATTCCAGGCCCATATAAGAGACCTTCTGCTGATTCATTAGCTTCCAATAACTCGAGCTGATGTTGTCTGCGAGCCATTCTTCCATCTCGGGTGCTATCGCGCGCTCTGCGGTCGGAGATGTTCACGCGCTGCTCATCTTCTTTTTCGGCATATAAATGTGCGTTGGGTCCAAGTGTAATTCCTATTGCATTCATATAATATAATAATGAAGCCATTCCTTCATTAAAGACGCCAGCAGCTATGTATGCAGCGGTTTCTACAGTTTTCGAGCCTGCCGGAACAATTTTGGGAGAGATTTTCCAAATCAGTTGATTATAACTCTCGTTGTTGTTTTGGTTAAAACCACCGACACATCTTTCCAATAAACTTTTATTGCTGAGGTCTATAAAAATCGGACGTATAGCTTCAGCAACATCATCAGGTAGTGGCTCATAATCATGTTCGAAAGTAGATACTTCATTGGCAGCAGCAGCCCTCTGCCAGCTGCACCATGAGTCTGGTCCACTCGGACAGTTGTCGTGCTGAGGTTTTTGGTCAGATGAACAATAGTGATAATATGTGGCCCAGATAGCATTATACATTTTCTCAATGGAATCACAATTTCTACGTATTGCTAAGCCATAGTAAACTGTTAACTTATCGATCATCTTTCCAGTGAGTTTTCCTTTTCCACCGAGAGTTTTCTTTTGTATTTTTTTTCCTTTCGCATTCTCAACAGTCTCAACATTTTTTTTACACAATCTCGAAGTCTCGTACCCATTCGTTTCTGTACATGTCCAATACATTCTTTCTTTACAACTTCCTCATCACCATAAGGTTTAACTTTTAAAATTCCCGAGTACGTTTTGGAATCACCGTCTCCGATATAATTTTTATAGATGACTCCGAGTTTTTCCAATGAACGTTTGAACATTTCAACGACTGAATCAACTTCCATTTTCCCTGAGGAACCAGCATGATTTGCAGTGCAAGTATTTTTATGTTCTTCGTACCATTCATTATACTCTTCTGTATCAAGTTTCTTCTTCCAAGTTTCACACAGTTTACAGTAGGCACTTTTAACAACTATATCTATTATTTTACCTGAATAATATCCAATCAAAGAGGTCACACCGTACAAGGAAGTATACCCTCGCTTTTTCCATGTGCCATCACCAGATACAGTTAATTCTGTTGAATGTTCGTTACCTTGATTATCGGAAGTCAAATTTTTCTCTTCGGTACAAGCCTGTGCAAAAAGTTTTTCAGTGGCTATTTTTACACTGGAGTGAATGTTATTTATTATCAAATCATAAGTTGGCTGTGATATAAAAGCTCGCATGTCCATTAATCCACAAAATTTTGCTGCACCTTTCAATCCTAATCCGAGAACTCTCATGACAAATAAAAATCGTCGATTTATTTCATAAGAATGCGTGACGAACGGACTAGAATTTACGCTACGGTCGGCACACTTATCACACAGCACAACTATTTGAAAACCAAGTCCTCGTTCAGAAGTTGTTTGAAACTTGACATCTCCGTCACAGACTTTACACTTTACATATTCAGCAATTGCTGCAAAAACAGTAATGAAGTTTAGTATGCGATACTCAACAGACGGATCACGTGTGACGGAGATTTCCTCTTGCTCTTTAAATTTTTTCGCCGAGGCACTGAAACTCCTTTCATCTGTTTCAGCTGTTTTTGGGTTGAAAACATTTTTACGTTTTTTTACTCTCGACTTACGTACATTATGAGATTTTCTCATTATTCGGGAAGACTTCATTTTCACTGGAAATTACACACAAAAAAATAAACGATCTCACAAGTTTACAGCTTGGCTTGGCTCCGTATACTGACTACCACTCTTAAATATGTTCCACTTTAGGGTCGAAAAAATATAAACTCACTTTTCAGGTATAAAATAAAATAATCACACTGTTGATTTACACATCTAAACACTTTAGAAGGGGAATGCTTACAATAGACAGATGCATGAAAGGGACAGCGCTCAGGTAGTCGATGCCGCTCCGGCCTTATACTCCCAAGCGCTCCGAGACGTCGTTACAAATATGCGTGTAACTTCGAAAATATTTGCCGGATCGATTTGAAATTTCTTGTGTGTATTCTTGAATATATGTAGAATCAGAAAATAAAATAAAAAAAAAATCGATTTTTTGAAAAAATTAACTGTATATAACCCCTTAAATATCTTAAATTTATTTATAAGCTATTTCCTTTAATGTTTAAACGATTTAAAGCTAAATATAATTCAGTAAGTTATAAAAATTACGAAATAGTGTATTTATGTAGATTTGCATGTGTTAATAGTATAGCCTTACCAGTGCAGTCTTACTTAAAATGTCTATCTGTATGCTATAAAAATGTATATATATGCGGTGGTTACAGCGCCTCTTTACTATTACGAGTATTTTATGTTAAGTATCAATCTTTAAATTATGAAAACAATGTGGTAATCTTAAGCATTGATCATGGAGTTTTTTTTTTACTATTGTTTTCTATTAGATGTCATCCTGGTACCTGTAAAAATAGCTTATTATATTTATATGTTCATTGTAGTGATATGTTACTGTGTTTTTTTAAGAAATATCAATCTAGATATCATATAAATAATGTTGTGCATTTGTGTATTGATTGGTGTACCTGGTTATTATTGTTTTTTATTCAATACGAGTATGAATATTTAAAAAGTGTAGTAGTGTATTTTATTAATTGGAACAATAGTTTACTATTATTTTCTGTTGCATATCGATATATAAATTATTGGGACAATTTTTTATGTATGTTCATGGATATTAATACCACATTAATAATATCTTTTGTTAAATATCAGTCGACAGGCTGCGTCCTGTATTTATATTTTGATTGTAGTGCCTACTTACAGATGTTTTTTATTAAATATCAGTTTGTAGGTTCTGGGAATAATGTGGTTAATTTATCTATGGATAATAATGTATTATCACTTCTATCCAGTAATTTATCGAGAATATTCAGATATTTTTTAACCACTTGTTATTGGAAATGCAAACATTATTGTGATAGATCTCTAATTATGTGTCAGTGTGGTTTAATGTGTGAACAGAAATTACATAACTCTTGTAACAGATATTTGCTGCCTATCAGTAGAATTAAAATGAATAAATGTGAAGGAAATGATTAAAAAGTCAATCAGTTTTCGATTAGGTCTCATAAATATACGTTCTTTAAATACCGGTCAGGATGAGCTAGTGGCAGCAGTGAATAACTATAGACTAGATGTGTTGGCAATAAACGAAACGTGGTTAAAGAATGATCAGACGGGGCTAGCGCCTGCGATCCCGGGTTACGTTTTTAAACACAAGGCTAGAAAAACGGGTTCGAGAGGTGGAGGTGTAGGTTTTTATTACAAAAAAGGACTGCGGATACGAGTACTGCCACATCCCACTTCTGATTTAGAGCAGATGTGGGTGGAATTGCACCTTCCGGGAACTGCTCGTTTAGCTATAGGAACAGCATATAGACCAGAGTCAGTTTCGGTAGATACTGCTATTGAAAATCTTAGTAGCTCGTTGGACACTTTTTCGAGTTATGATTCAATTTATATACTCACAGACTTCAATGTAAATATAAATAATAAGGGAGCCTCGTCTACATCTGCTTTGACAACCTTTCTATTTCAACGAAATCTTTACCAACTTGTTAATGAACCAACAAGGGTGACTGATAATACTTCGTCACAAATAGATCTTGTAATTACTGATACACCGGCCATCTGCTCCGGAATTTACGTCTATCACAACCCAAAGCTTAGCGATCATGCCATGGTGGTGGCAGAACTTAAAATGAAAAAACCACAGCGAAGTCCGCAATATATATATAAGAGGATTCTTGGCAATATTGATATGAATAGTTTTAATAGTGATCTCATCAGCTTGGACTGGGAAAGTGTAAATAAGATGACAACCTTAGACGCAAGAGTTAACCGATTTAACGAACTAATTAACACTTTATTTGATGTTCATGCTCCAATGCGAAAGATATGTATCAATAGCAATAAGCCACATCCATGGATTACCGATAACATTAAGATCATGATGAGACTACGCGACTCTGCTCTACGCAGGGCTCGGGCATCGGGAGAGGACAGTCATTTTGATTACTATAAAAGTCTTCGCAACTATACAAGTAGTGCCTTGGAGCGCGAAAAAAAGGGTTATTTCACATTTTACATTAATAATAATAAAAACAAACCCAAACAAATGTGGCATCATCTGAAACAAATATGTACTACAAATAATGTAGACCAGTCATTGATACCAGATCATCTTATGAACCCCGACGCTGTTAACAATTTTTTTCTTGATGTTCCCATTGATCCACAAAGTAACAGAGTGAATAACAAACCCATATCAAGGAAAATGGTGAGCAATGAATTTAATATCACATCGTGTGACGAAGAGAAAATAATTAAAATAATCAATGCAGTCAATACTAAAGCTTGCGGCCACGATGGAATAACTATAGAAATGCTGAGAATGACACTCAATGTTACCCTTCCTATTATTACAAAATTAATTAACGATTCAATCTCATCCAATTATTTTCCCCAAGAATGGTCAATTGCTAAAATTAAACCAATTCCAAAAGGATCAGAAGTTAATGATCTTAAAGATCTGCGGCCTATTAGTCTTCTCCCGATCCTGTCCAAAGTAATAGAAAGGGTGGTTTATGAGCAGCTCGCAGATTATCTTGAAAGCGAAAATCTGCTACCAAAATTGCAATCGGGATTCAGAAGTAATCATGGGACGGCATCTGCCCTCTCCAAAGTCACTGATGACATACTAAAGTCATCTGATGATGGAAAGGCAAGTATGCTGGTTCTTTTAGACTTCTCACGTGCCTTCGATTGTATAAATCACGAACTTCTTTTGACGAAAATGTCATATAATGGCGTGTCGTCTGCGGCATGTAGATGGTTTGCTTCGTTTTTGGAGCATCGACGCCAATACGTGGAGATGCGGACAGATCAGGGTGTTATAACTAAATCTCAAATAAAAGCTGTTAATAGAGGAACGCCGCAGGGCTCCATACTGAGCCCTTTATTATTTTTGATATATACATCTGATCTTCCTGCTAACATTAGAAATTGCCAGCTACATCTTTACGCGGATGATACCCAACTTTACTACTCTTTCGAACCTGAAAATTTAAGACAGGCGGAAATATATATAAATAATGATTTGAATTCGCTTCTCAAATGGTGTCACTGTAATGCTCTTGTACTAAACCCTACGAAGTCCAAGTTTTTGGTATTGGGTAATAAAATGCAGTGCAAGAAAACTAAATGCCAATGTCCTCAGATTCTTGTCAATAACCAGCCAATAGAAAGAGTTGAAACTGCAAAAAATCTTGGACTTTTATTTGATGAGGAATTACGCTTCATAGAACATGTAAATACAAAGATAAGATTAGCATTTTATAAATGAACGGTATGGACTGCCGTTCGGTGAGCGTGGACTGTAGGGGCGTTGGTTCAGGCTGGAGTGAAACACAGGGATTACTATTCTGAAGCCTCCGGTACCGTCTGAAGAGAGTATTTTTTCTTCTTGTCCTATTTCTTCTCGAGTGTAGTGTGTCGCTGCCCGGAAGCGAATGCCGCTCGACGAGAGGCGGCCTATCTTTATACCCGCCCGCTCGCACGATAACATTTCCAACTCGCGTTAGCGATCTGTGCGAGCGGGACGGGGCGAGAATGAACGAGACGCGTGTCTCTTCAGATCGGTACTCTATAGCGTCTATTTATTGCAATTTACAATTTCTTAATTCTATTTATTGTTACAATTTCTATTTCTATTTGTAGGTAATAATGACAACACGCAAAGGAATACTTTATTTAACTTACACTATCTTAAATCTATGTAAATCTATATAAAATAACAGAATACAAAACGATTAACTAGGACTTAACAACTATAAATTACGATATATACAAATAATGTCGCGAACATAATCTCCCGCCGCAGCTCTCGTAGCTGGAGTTAACTCGTGTTCGCGTCGCTCGATGTCGATGTGGGCAGTATGATCAGCTTCTTAGTGGGTCGCCGTAGGATGCCCTTGTTCGTCCGCACGTCGACTGCTCGGATCTCGCCGTCTGGTCCAGGGTAGGTCGCCACCACCACGCCTCGCGGCCACGTGTTGCGAGGCAAGGTCCCATCAGCTATTAGGACCAGGTCGTCCATTTTGATGGCTCCGTGTGTAGCTCGGGGCTCCCGCCGGTGTTGCAACTCGGGTAGGTACTCCTTCACCCACCGGTTCCAGAAGCAGTCAGCTAGCCTCTGGCTGGCACGCCACTCCTTGTGTCCCGCCGCGTCGCTCTCGGTGAAGCTGCCTGGCAGTGGGACGCGCGATGGACCGCCCAATATGAAGTGATTGGGGGTTAGGGCGCTGTCGTCGTCTGCCGATGTCGACACGTGGGTTAGCGGTCGACTATTGAGGGTGTGCTCGACCTCGACCAGCAGAGTGTGGAGGACTTCTTCCTTGGGGGCCCGCTCGTTCAACGTAGCGGCTAGTGCGGTCTTCACACTACGCACCAACCGTTCCCACGCACCTCCCATGAAGGGTGCGCTCGGGGGAATGTAGCGCCACCGGATGAAATGGACTGATGACTCTTCTTGGATGGCTTCCTCGGCTGCTTTCTTCAGTTCGACGTCAGCACCTTTGAGGTTGGTGCCTTTGTCGGACCATAATTCCGTGGGACACCCTCTGCGGCTTATGAAGCGCCGCAGGGCCATTATGGCGGAGTCCGTGCTGAGGCTGCCGGCGATTTCTAGGTGGACTGCGCGCGTCGTTAGGCAGGTGAAGAGCACTCCGTATCGTTTCTGGTGAGTGCGGCCCACTGTCACGGTCATAGGCCCGAAGTAGTCTAGGCCGGTGAACGTGAACGGTCGTTGATGATGCGCCAGCCTGCTATGTGGATGGTTGCCCGTTGATGGCTGCGCCGGTCTTGCTCTTCGTAGGCGGCACAGCTGACACCTCTTCAGTTCACTGCGGACGGCGTGTCGTAGGCGCAACACCCACAAGTGTTGTCGCACCTCGTTCGTGGTGATCTCGAAGCCGCCGTGGTGAAGTTTCCGATGCACCCATGCGATGTATAGGCGCACCCAGGCGTGGTTTCCGTCGACGATG